CAAATGAAAGTTGATCAAATAGGATAAGAGGAAATACTGAAGAAAGGAGGTAAAGCTTCTCCAAAGACAGTTATCAACTCCTTCTTGATTCATAGTGGCCTTTGAATTTTCAGAGAACTCTTCCGTCGTTACACATAATGTTCTACATATTAAAACACAACTTAGAAATGTTACTTGGTTACACAAAAATATTCACACTTGACAAAGTTTCTTAAAGTTAATTGCTACTCCAAAAGTAGTCAAATTAAAAGCTGAAAAGTTTTTAATAGAAGTTTTTGTAATGACAACAAATCTCCAAATTATCTGTCAAGTAATATCCATATAAAATATACATTTCACCCACTTAAATTATTGAAAATTTGGGGTATCAGAATTAACAACAAACAGTTAAGGAATTCTTTATAGTTCTTTGAGATAGAATTTTTTCATCTGCCTTAAATTCTGATTAAGTACTTTTCAAAATGTTTGAAACTATGGGCAGATGAAAACTATTGTCAGTCTTCAGAAGCAACTGGAAAAGCAAAGCAGAAGCAGTTTTATGTGCAAACAAATAATTTACCTTTCAAAGCCTTATTAATAGACACAATTTAAGATAGAAAATTCACACTGATGGATGTGTAGGGGCAGACAGGGATACTGAAACATATGGAGCCTGATTCCACTCTTATTTATTCCACTGGCTTCAATGTACTGACTTCCAGCAGTGACATAAAGAGGCAAACTGGATATTAAATGACATTCAGAACAAGATATATTACTATAATTACTTCAGTAAATTTACTTCTCTATGTGAAACAGTAATTGTAATGATTGCATTAAGTTAGAAAAGCAATATTGAAGCTTCCCAAACAAACCAAATTTTTAATTGCACCTGAAAATACTGACTGCAGAAAATTCTGTGTATTTTTCAACAAGAAGAAGAGACCAGCTTTGGATGTTTCAAAATAACTTCTATGCTCAGCAATGTATAAAAGAAAGAAAAAGTGTAAGAAAATATCAAGTGCATAACATTCTCACTTTTTGAGGAATATGTACTTTGTACTGCATAGCAAAGTAGAAAAAGATTCAAATTTACAATAAAAACTTTAGTTAAAATGGTCTTTGAACCATATACTTACAAGTTTTCTTAGTCTAAAATTAAGGTTTCCCACAAAGTCAATATGGTTAGTTATTACAGATTTTCAAATGTACTTTTTTTCATTTGAGGGGTTGGGAAGTGAGGTGGGGGCACACAAAAAAACCCCCAAATCTTTGGAAGCATTTCAAAACAGAATGCTTTACTTCAAATATATCAAACTAAGGTCATCATAGCACAAAGGAATTCAGATCCACTTTTAGAAAATTATAATAAAATTCATAATCTGAAAGATATTACCATGAAGTCAATATTAATTCATTCAATTAAATTAATTATTAATTCAATATTAATTCAGTCAATCAATATTGGCTTGTCAATATTTTTGTGAGCTATGTACCTTTCAACAGGAACGTCAGCCACTTTATACTTTGTCTATTAGGATGATATAAGTCACCAAAATTGGTTTATTATTTGAGCTGAGTTTTCTTAAGAGGTGGTGACAAAGTAAAGCAGGAGAAGTGAATTCTGGTACTTATTTATCTTTTTTTTTTTTCATTAAAAGATGAACAAATAATCTACTCAGTTGCTTAAATATCAGTGTTTACTAGAATTTCAGATATTTTGCATAACGAAAATAATGGGCTACAAGATACAACACAAGACTTGTGTGAAGCCTTGGATTTGTACCTACAGCTAGGCAATACATCCCACAGTTTAAGAAGCTGGATCACACTTTGAGAGTGTGCTGAAGCATTTCAACCAAAATAAGACAGTTTGCAAATGTGAACTAGTTTTGTATGTTCTTTCTTTTCCTATTTCTTGAACATTCTTTACAATAGCCAGATATGATTCTCAGGGGAAACCACCTTTTCACTCTTGCTCACTCAAACCTGTGAAACTATGTGTGTGAAAACAGAGATATGCTATGTGTCATTAGATCTATTTAAGTCTTAACAGAGTTAGTACATAATCAAATATGTTTTCTAGCTAATAGTCTGTGTAAATCAGGGAGTAGCACGTTCTGATCTTAGAAATACCCATTTTTTTTTTCCTGAGAACATACAGTCTATCATTATCCAAGCTCCTAGACTTCTCTGCTTCGAAGCACTTTTTCCACTTGTTACCTGTTAGAGTTCAAAGAACAGATAATGTGAAACAGTCATGAATTATTTTTTCCCCAAAAAAAGACCCTAGAGATACTATTTATATCCACTGCATAGAATTATGTGTTATCACAAGCACACTCCCAAATCTAAAACAAGTAAGAAGGAAGAAGAATAAGACAAATAAGAAGGTGTCTTTTTTGTGCCAAGTTCTGTGTAATACCTTTACCTTCTAGAGGCTCACTCTGGGAGAAGAACAAACCCCAAACTCAAACAGTTGCTAAATAAGCACAAGAGAAAACCAGAAGTACAGTATAAAAAGGTCAAAATTGTTCTTTTGTTTTTGTGATTTGACTAGCACACAGCAGAATAGGAAGGAGTGGAACCTAAGATGTCAAGTAAGGAATACAGTCAACACTTAAGCTTACTTCAGCAAAATGGAGCACAGGAGATAAGTAGTGTTGGCTAAGGACTGCTGAAGAATGTAAAGAAAAGGGGTAGATTTGTGATACTGCTGTAAATTCCTGTGAAAAAATATTGTTTATTTCTTTTTTTAGGAAACTGTTATTACAGGAAAGAAGAAAGAATAGTAAACTAAATGTGAAACAGGAATACCACTGGAACGAGGACAGGGAGAAGACTATAGAGTAGAAATATAACACCATAACAAAGAATTTGCGCTTCAGTTTTCTTCCTTCTCACAATGGTTTCATCTATTTATGCTATACCATATTTTGTAACACAGTTCTTTACACAAACAGCCTAAGAGGATGTCAGAAGGCAGCAGAAAGTTTCATGAGAAAATGACATAATATGTGGGCACATCACAGATCTCTGTATCATGACAGGTAAAAAGAAAAATAAAAATGTGACGGTAAAGCAGAACATAGAGATATTAATCTTAATTTATTTTTTATTATTTAATATTACCCTCCCAATTAAATATTTTTAATATATTTTCTGTCATTTTACTTTGGAGAAAAGATCAAGATATTTTTTATGTTGCTCTTGGTTACTCCCCAACGCCATATATCAGAAAAAATTTTATGTAAATAGCTAGTGGTTAAAGTAGCCAGACATTTAAAAGGAGAAGTAATTGGACCCAAAGGAGATAAAGCAGAATGTGATCTGGAAGAGTTAGGTTTTCATATGAGCAACATATAACAAGAAATGCTCATATTACCCTCCCAGGTTGTGACATTTATAAGTAATTGCACAAAACGCTGAAATATCCATAGGTATCTAGAAGCATTTTGAGACACTGCTATGTATTTAAACAAAAAGTTTGGGAGATTGGGCAAAACACAGCTGGTGCTTATATTTCCTTTAAAAAATATCTTGCTGATGGTAGGAGCCTCTAGGGAGAGCTTAGGGAAAACCTCTTTGCCTGAGTCTTTTTGAGGTCCATAGGAAAGGGATTTCATCGGAAATGGGACAGAATCAATCTCTCTTCTTTTTCCTTCAGCCTCTCCAAGGCTCTAGAGGAAAGGAACTTTCAGGTGTTGCATACAGGAGCAACATACATTGCTCTAATTTGCTATTAATGCCTTGAAAATATTATATTCCTTAAATAAAGGAAATTAAACATACTAGCAAATGCTTTTATCTCATATTTACTGTTTTAAACCTGAGGTCTTTTTTTCCCCCCTACATTTGCTACCTATTACTATCTTATTGCTTTCTTTCAGCAGTATATTAAAAAATATGAAATACATCTGTCACTTTTGACTAAAAATCTGGTTCAGCATATTCACTGTACTATCAAGTATATCACAGACAAGTTCATACATCATTTATTCTTGGTAGCATGACAGCAGCCCAGCCAATGCACTGGACAAGGAGCTACAGCTTAGCCCTGCACTTGTCTATTCCTGCTCAAGTCCCAGAGCTTGTATTCAGGTAGAGTAATAACTTGGGAATGAAACAAGGCCAGGACTTTAACTTAAATGTGGCAGTGCTTTTTACATCTCTGCAGCAACTCCTGCTCTTGGAATAGTTCAAAAATGCCTGGCTGCTTCTGCAATTTAAAGATCTTTCATTTTTAGGTCAGGCTGCCTCACAAGCTACAGACACACAGTAAGCAATTCAGATTAGGAGACACATGCTGTAACTTCTATATAAACAGAGAAGTTTAAAAGGCAAGAAATTCTTCTTTACAGATTTTATTTTTAAACCTCCTGTTGTGATATATAATCCTTATGCTTTACTAAGAAGCTTCTGGAGTATGGCAATACAGATGCAACAACAGACTTCTGTCACATACCTAACATAACAGATTTTCAGAATTAAATATCATAACTCCACATGTGAAAGGGTAGAACATCATAGTAAATATCTATATCTAACAAATATCTAACTCTGTAATTAATTTGTAGTACTTTAAGGGGAGTTCTGCCCATATCCATATTTGGAAAATATTTTGCAAAATTAATACTCACCTCTAAAAAATTTAAAATCATAAGTATGATTTTGCTATTGATTATTCATTGCTTCAGAAAAACAACATTCTCTGGACAGTCAGTATCAACTTGTGGCAATGCTATATGCAGCACAATGGATTTTTGCTTTTTTTGTTTAAAGGTTAGGTATTGCTTTTTGCTTGGGGGGATTGCTGACAAAGCATTTGGCAGTAGGCACAACACATCTACAGTAAGTAGATCAGAGTATTTTAACTGCAAACATGCTGCAATAAAGTGCCATCATTCAATCAATACAGAACTACTTAGTTAACATTTTTGTTAATGTATCTAGATTACTAGTTCTTTAGATCGTTACCTGATAAATAGCGTGGGTAATGAATTGAGAGAGTAACTACATACCTTCAGGAAGAACCTGCCCGATAACAATAATCCATTAGAAAAACTGGCAGTATCCTCTGATCTATTGCCCGCAAAGCTATGACTTGATGGAGAGTTTCATTCCCTCTGCTCAGCACTCCAGAAGAAAATCAGCACAATTTAAATATTTCTCAGGATGTGACAGCTCTCTAGGTCCCTGGCTGCATTCTGTTCCCAGGGGTTGACAATCTGGTGTTCCAGTGTGCATAGAGCAGTGAAGATGAATTGAAAAAGCTTGAGATAAATTAGGGATGGCTAAGTTAAAATTGTCTCTGCTCCCGAGTCTCTCATCTGCAGTCTGCAAGCCTATTTTGCTGTGAAAAAGCTAGATGGCAGGCTGCCTCAGTGAGTTCTTCTTAAGCGACAGGGAGCATTTTCAATGAAGAAAAATTCTCCCATTATCTAAGCTAATGTGACTGCAGCTAAATCTAGTCTTAAAAGTGTCTACTAGCATGAAATTCATTCTCACTGTTGCTTTCCTTCAAGCCACAGGTTAAAAAAGAGAAAGGGAGGAAAAAAAAAAAAAAGAAAGAAAAAAACCCCAACAAAGCAGTATCCTAGATTTTTCTATCTGAAAGAAATACTCAAACTTTTTTAAGTTGATAAATGGTAGCACATTTCATAATATAACTATGCCCAACAATCTAAGTATAGGAAATTATCACTCTTTCCCAAACTTTATCTCCTTATACTCAGTTCATTTTTCCACCACCTGTTCTTTCTTGTTTGTTTTTAATAGTTATCGTGTCTTTTAATTAGTTTCATTTCCAATATTCCAGGAAAGAAAGTGGCAGTATTTTCCAATTGTTGACAAAAAAATGAAGTGATGGTTAAAATTCTGAACAATTAACGTGTTAAACCTTAGTAGATAATAATCAAAAAAAACTGATTGGAGTTTTGCAATGCCACTAAAAAATGTTTGGTAACAAGTTGCTCTTTAATTATGAACCATTTGTCTCATTGCACTAGTTTGCAAAAAGATACAATTGAAGTTTTCTGAATATCGCTTAAGTGCCAAAGCTGTTTGACGATGTCATTAATTTCAAGCTGTTTTGTAAAAAGGTGTTACAGTGAAAACTCTAGAACAAGAGTTTATCATTAAACACATTAAATGAAGTTTAATATTTTATCCTCTCAAACATTGGAGATACTTTAATAAAAAAAGGTATAGTTTCAAAGAGCCACTATCAGTCATGCTTACTAGTAAGCAGGCATTTTTGCAAATCCTTTCTTTAGTTTCAGCTGATCTAGTTTTCTGAAGTCCTAGCTGTCAACCACAAATGACTTTCTCAGGCCTGAATTCTCAATATAATGGAAATTCAGGCACCCACCCTTAAGTGGAAGCAGAGATACAGCTGAGTACATATGAGTATAGCCTTAGTTCTAGAACATTTTGAGAATGATAAATAAATATATCACCAAGAAAGAAATGTAGACCCTGCTTTCATCAAACAGGCATGAAGAGACTCTGAAAATGTTTAGAACATGACTGCAGAGTTATCTTTTGTTCTCCATACCCTGGGGTAAAACATACACTTACATTAACAGAACTCAACCAGGTGAAGTGAAAAGGCATGATCAACATTAACAGGTGTCCTTGGGGGTTAAGTTACTAAAGCCACCAGCCTCACAGAGTCTCTGTGTTTTATGCTGAAGGCATTAGATCTATCCTAAGTCTTTTAAACAGAAGCTCCTTTGGTCTTTTTCCCAACAACCATTTATTGAAGCATATGCAAGGACTTGACCAGATCCAATTGTTCGGTAAATGCAATACACATAAATGCAGCCTAAAATAAGACATGTTTCCAAAGGAATAAAAAAGTTTCCCATGCTTCTTTGCTCTAGGATTATTTCTGGTTTTGTAACACTCACATTTCTTAATTCTAGGTGGCGCTGGCTGTGCTGCTGTCCTCACCATTAATATTTGTACATTTTCCACATAAACATATCATGATATAACAATTCATAGAATTATAAAATCATATAATCACAAAATTGTTTTTCTGGAAGGGACCTTCAAGATCATCTATTCCAAATCCCCCAGTTCTAGATGGTCCTCTTGGGCAGGGAGCTTTGATCAGATGACCTCCAGAAGTCCCGTCCAACCTCAAATATCCTGCGATTTTGACTTTTGTTTAGGAACCGCCAAAATCCTCAGTTCATAATGTCAGTGTTTTTCTGTTTAAACAATTACTAATTTTGTTAACCTGTTTTTTCCAAAACATCTTTCTTAATTGATTTTAGATTATTAGGTTTCTCTTTTCTTCTGCTCACACAACTACAACATCTACTGCCAAAACTGAAAAAAAACTGCCAAGACCTCATTGTGCAGCAACCCATCCCTAAAGTTCCTGAAGTTCTCCCTCTTCACGGTAAGGTAAGGCTCGATAGAAGTCTTTTTAGAGCTGAAAGCCACCTGCTAGCCCTAAAGACAGCATTGGTTTGTGTGCTATTTATAAATTTTAGAACAAGAATCACTCACATCTCCCTCCACTCAGCAGCTACTGCTTCAGCAAGAGCTACCAGCACCAAATTGCTGTTTTTCTTGGAGCCTCAGCAACTTGGATCAAACAGCTACATCCGTGCCCCAGGTCCTCTACATAAAAATCTACTATCTTGAAGAAATTTATAAAAGAAATTGAGTTCATTATGTCTAGTTGTATCACTAATTTACAAGATATGATTCATTCATGTTTAGTGCCTTGAATAAGTAACAGGGACATTTCAGTTTCTAGGAGGTTTCTGGTTGAATTTTGGGGCATAACATGGAAGAAAATAGAGAAGGCATTTAGACAACAAAATAAAGTAATCCAAAATGTCTTAGTAAAATTCTCATCCTTGACCACAAATTCATCTCAACTTTCTCTTCTCGAGTATCAGATGGGGAAAGGAAGAAGGTGAACATCAGTACTAGAAACTTTTTTTTTCAGGGAAAAAGATTTAATAATCCCTGATGATTATTAGGAATTAGACCCAAGGCACCCAGCAAGGTAGTCACTTGACTTACAGAGTTTTAGAACAAGACATAGATACACAAGAAATTCTCAGACAATGTCATGAGAAAAAATTAATAGGACTTTTGGTTTTGCTTTGTTTAGGTCGTGTTTAGTTTTGGTGGGTTTTTTTGTTTGTTTAGTTCTTTTTTTCATTTCCAAGTTATCTACTTGTGCTGTTTAATATTTTTTTTTAATTAATCAGATGGTCTCAGATAGATGTAGAGATGACAGTGTTGGCATATCATGCTAGATGTTTTTGGTGTGCTGTAATCCATTTATGAAAACATGTTTCAATACATCAGAAGACAGCAGCAGTATCATGAGCAGAAGGTAAGAAAGGTGGTCATGGAGTGGTACACCTTGTAACTTTGTGGCGTGTTACCTACCCACGTAACAGAAGTTGTAATTCCTTTGACCTGGGTACCTTAGAACTCTGGGAAAGCTAATTTCTAGAAGCCAAAGTTATACACTGGGCCTGTTTAATTTTTAAACTTAAATAGCAGTGCGATTCCACTACAAGACAGATTTCTAAAGAATATTAAACCCTCCCTATATAATAGGATACACTAAAAAATTATATTTGACTAAATCTTCAGAACTACTTCTTTCCTCCAACTGATGTCTCATTAAGTAAAAGAACTCAATTTAGATAAATGTTTGTCTTTCCTATTTCTCTGTCATTCTTCGCAGGAGACAAAATACTCGTTAATAAATTCAGAATATTTTCTCCTATCTTTACCCTGCCTGTCTTGCATTAGATTTTAGCAGCAGAGAAAAACTTCTAATGGGGAACTCCAGTGGGATTAGAGATGGGCAATTCAAAGGTGAAAACTTCAGTGACAGAAAGTGAGATTTTTTTGCTACTGTATATTTTATTTTACATATATATATTATAACTTTGAAAAATCCACAATATGTATGCATATAAATGCTTAGTAAACTTTTTGAAGTCTCTTTTTCATTATTGTGGAATGAACTCTTGCATAATTTTAGCTGCTTCACACATTTCTTCACTGTTTTTTCTTGAAATATGGATGACACTGTTGTTACTGCTCATGTTTGTAGGATATAGTTTGTTGCAAGTTTTCTTCTCTTAGATTCATAAAGGATTAGGTCTGGGTGAAAATAAAACATTTAAATAAAAATATTTTGCTAATCTTAAGAATTGCTAGTATAAAGTGTTGTCTTCCATTATGAGTGCACCTTAATGTACTTCTGCCAATGGTTTTCATTTACTAACCACTTGTAACATGGAAAATTACATCAAATATAGAAGTATGTAAACCTGAAGAGGAAATTGAGACCTAGGTCTGCTATTTGGGTTTGACTTGACAACTTCAGTGAGAGAATCTACTCAAGTCTCTCTTCAAACTTCAGTCTAACGTTATGTAGTTCCCAGAGGAAAGCAAATAAGATTTAGTAAGGAGAAGGCTGGAAATATATGGCCTGAATATGCTGATGTTCATTATCCTTTTTGATTACTGTAAACTTCCTGTTTTCTAGATTACTTCACTACATCTTTTAGAAAGACAATAGAAAGAAAATTATGTTGAAACACATGATATTAAACAGTAAGGGTTTTGGGCTTCTTTGTCCTCTCCAAAATAAGCAGGTAGATGGATTTTCCGGTTCTCTTTCCTTACAACATTTGTACACTAGCAGAAGGCAATAGAACAATTATATTCTGAAGATGACTTAAGTATTTGGCTTTCCACAGATAAGTAAAAGATGTGAGAAAAATATCAATATAAATCCAAGAATTCTTACTTTGAAGTTATGAATGAAGGATGTGTTTCCCCTAATTATGCCTTATACAGAGTTATCAGTTGTTGTCTGACAACACGTGACACAATTTCTTAGCTTCCAAATTGGTCTCAGAGTTTGTCACATGATGCCCATTAAAGGTCACATGTTCTTCCATTAGCCTATGCACAGACTAAATACTTTTTGAATAAGTTTATAAGTGGAAGCACTCTTATACTTACTACAAGAGAAGTTGACTATACTTATAATTACGAAGACTGGAAAGATAAGATCTGTAAAACACAACATTTCATGAGGGATCCTGACATCACACACTGCTTACTCCTAGGGTGAGTCTTTTTTTTTTGTGTTTTATTTTGTTTGAACCAAAGGGAAACCAGATCATACTCTCTGACAGCGCTCCATGAACATAGAAACTGGGAACATATAAGATTCACACCCCAAAATTCTAATGCATATGTCCTTGTACTAAACTGACAAAGATGAGAACTGAAAGAGGATCCATTGCAATTAAAATAGTTAAAAACCTATATTAAATTAAAAAACA